AGAATTCCCCAGCCAGCATGGCTGGCTGGGGAATTCTGGGAGTTGAAGTCTACACATCTTAGAGTTGTCAAGGTTGAGAAACACTGCATTAATAGAACGCTACTTGCCTCTCCCTTAATCCAGCCCCTTTCCTGAAAGAGACTTCCTGTTGCTTCTTCTAACACCCCTTCTTTATTGGATATGTTGATGCTAAAGAAAATACTGGGCTGTAACCACTGCATCTTTCTTTTCTAAGAAAGCTTATGGATCTCCCAGGCGATGCTGGAGGCTGATATTTGCTTTGCAGCATGCCAGCTTCCCATATTTTTAAGTTAAAAAAAATTAAGTGTAAAAAGTCACATGGGGAAAGGAACATATTTGTTTCCCTGGGCAAAATGCTCAGACCATTGTGTTGCATTTGTTTTGACAAAGCACAACAGCACACACAATGTCTAAGCAAATAAACTACATTATGGGTTAGCCGAATCCATGCTAAGACAATGGCGATGTTCCCACAACATGCTGAACATCAAACTCTCCAATGCCATTTAAATCTAGTCAATTGTGCAGTTGCCTCCTTTAATAGCAAGCTCAACCTTTTCATTCCAGCAGGACTGTGGTCAAAACCAGGGTGGAGGTAAAGCACAAAAGTTTCACGCAAGGTAATCTCTGATCAGCCTAGTAGCGACCACAGCCACCTGGAAAAGAACATCAGAAAGGGTGGTAGAGATGGAGAACACAGGACTTTGGGGGTAGAATCAGAAATGGCAGCATTCTTGCCAGTGTACGCACTGCAACATTTTTTGGCACTTCCCATCGTTGCATTATTTTTCATCTCTATCTCACAGACGAACATGGACACACAAATACAAGAACAATCTCAAAATTCTGGGGACGGTTTTCTCAGTGATCAGTTGGACACCTCTCATGGCTTTTGTTGCATATGGCAGCCTTCTCCAACACAACTGGTTGGGACTCCTGATGTGTGAAGGCCCACCCATCTGAAGGACCTCAAGTGGAGAAAGACTAGTTCTGGGAACTCACTCTTGAAGACGCAGAAGAGAAGGGGAGTGTTCTTCTTCAAGAGACCTTGGGAAGCAGGGGGTTCTAGTTCAACCTCCTCTTTTTCGTCTTTCTTTCCTGCTTCAAATTTTTTCTTTTTCTGTCGGCCACCAACCTCCACTCCCTGAAAAAAGGAGATATCCATAATGCTGTGCAAGTAATGCTCCAGTGCTACTACTCTGAGTAGAAACAGATGTCCAGGGATTTGCTGCTTAAGAGCCTCCCAAGGGTCAATGCAGATCCTTCTGCAGGAGGAGCACTTGCTTTGTCCTGAAGGTCTGGCCAGTAAGTAGCACAAGTCAATTCACCAAGGCTTCCTGATGTGGAAACTGCACCTGGGTGCTTGATAAGGACCTATTTACATAAGGACCTGCATCGCTTAAGGATGACAGATGAATTGATATAAATTACTATATATATATATATA